TTTGTTTTGGTTTTTGTGGATGGGAGGGTGGGTCATTGCCAACTTTTGACGGTTATCACCAACCGGACTTGCTGCCAACCTTACAACATATAAGATAATTTTTCTCAAAAATTGCACACGATTAGCCTTAAAAATATGTATATAAGTCGCAATAGTGCATTTGGGTAAATTTCTCGTTACGATAAGCAAAGGAAACTACATTTTGAGTCATTTTGCATTACATTAATTTATGGCGTCCGCCATTTTTGGGTCCTAAGGGTTCCATTCAGCCTAAGATGGCTGAGCCAATCAGAGGTGGTAACACCAGTGGCAATACTATCTCAATATAGGTACTCTATCGCTATTAATAGCGAAGGATTAAAAAACGAAAAGGAGGATTAAAAAACGAAAAAATCCTGAAAAATATGTCGTTGGGATGCAGAGCTTTGGCTCGGTGAAAGAGTTTCATCCGAGACTGCAGAGCGAGCGAGAGAACGAAATTTCAACTCGGGAAGTCGTTGCCCGCCGAAACCGATGAATTTCAGAATATTTTGCGGAGGAAAAGTTTGGCTCTTTTTACTCCTTATTCTCCGTACGTGAGGTAACTCCACGGCGGCAGCAATTCCCGAAGTTCGACGCTGCGCTGGTTCGCTGTCTAGCAGCGCGCGGGAGTGCCGAAGTAATTTTAAAGTTTCCGAGCTAATGGCGGATCCTGATTTTGTTACGGTCTCCGCAGAAAAGGTCAAAAGGTCGACCGAACTGCATCCGTTATAATCCGAGAAGCAAATTATTGAGAGAGCAAACTGAGCTGAAAAGAAACGAGGTCCAACAGATCTGAACTTTCATTCTTCGGTTTCTTCCTCTTCTCTGTGTATAGAAAAGTCAACCAAAGGGATGCTTCTCGGCTTCGTGCTGGGCTAAATTACATCAGAGTTTTGTCATAGTCTAATTGGACTGAAGTAGAGGCCAAGTCATATTTTGGTGGAAGATGAGTCCGAATTACATTCAAGCTTCAACCGTCGTGCATTTTCCCCTCTTGAAAATTCAAATTCGGGAGAGTGAAATTCTGAGCGTAAAGCGGACCACTAGACAAGGTACCAAGTTAAGCATTCTGATGGATGTTTCAAAATCAAAATTTAACGCAGAACACGATTTGTGCTGCGAAAATTACTGAAATTCACTCCGAACCAAGATATTTAATGTTCCTTGACGAGTGGATTCAAACCTCCCACTCATGAAAACACAACGGTCTATGTAGTCAGCGGGCCGATTATTGAAACTGATAGACAAAGCTATAGACAAAAACGACAAAAGGGATTTGGAGGGATCCTATTGGTGGAAACGGGCGGTTGCAATGGACAAAGGAGGTAGGTAATAGACTAACTAACGGCAACCCACGAGAGACCCGACAGTTAGTCTATCATTTTCCCCCTTAGTCTATGAGAACCAACCATGTCAACCAATAGGATCGCTCCATACTCCCTATGTCATATTTGTCTATCGCTTTGTCTATCAGTTTCAATAATCGCCCCGCAGATCAGATCGCAAGCTAAACGTTACCGTGGCAGTCTCTGCGATAAGAAAATATGACGATTTTAATCTTGACACTTTGGCTCAGCTATGAAGCAAATTGTTCACACTTTGAACCATGAAGAGTGGGAGGCTTCTCAATCCCAGTGGGAAATGAACAATGTTCGATTGAGAAGCTTGCTTAAACCGTTGTAGTGCGCGATTTGACTCACGTAGAATATTGTGTTTCTTGTGACCGGGCAATTAAAAATTCCCGTAACCAATGTAAATTTCAAACGTTAATATCTTAGTTAGGAGTTCATTTCACTGATTTTTAATGCAAGAATCGTGTTTTACGTGAAATTCTTGTTAAGAATCATGTTTTAGAATGCTTAAATTCGTGCCTTGTTCAATGGTCCATTCAATCTAAAAAAGCAAACATACAGAACTTTTCTGACTTTTCTCAGAGAAAATATTTTATCGGAGGAAACGAGGCAACGTTGGGGTGCTCATACGGCGTCGAAACACAACGTGGACCTTCTAAGCCCCATTTTTCGATGCCGTGATTATCTTTACGCAAGTTCGATTAATCGCGCTAGACACGGTGCGGTCGGCATCAACTCATATCAGCGCCTGCAAGACTGCAGGAATACTTCATGCATTGCACCAAACGGTGCGGTCGGCGTCGAACGCATGTTAGCGCCTACTGCATGAATACTTCTCGCGTTGTCTAGTACTCCATTACGGGCTAAAACGCACCTTTAAGGTATTCTTTCTAAAAAACATTTTCCTATTACTTCTCCTTCCTTTGGCTAAGGCATAGGTCCTGATTGCAGGCACGTGTTAAAAGGATAAAACTGATAAAAATAAATTGATAGCTGATTGAACACACACACATACGAGATTAAAGATAAATTTTAATGGGAGGACATTCTGCAATGAAATTGCAGCATTAGCAATGTCGAGATTCTAAATGCCCTTTGCCCTTAAATTGAGTTTTCAAAGGTTCGTGCTTTTTTCATAAGCAAATCCTACCAACGAGATCCTCGAAATGGACGTTTCTGCCAAACGGAACTATGTGCATTAAAACATAAGCCCTGAGACCCATAAGAATATATGCATAATAGGGCTCACGTCATAATGCACACGGTTCCGTTTGACAGAAATACGTCCAAATATGCGATACATTATTGCCACTCGAGGATGAAAGGAATCTGAAAATTGTACAGGTATCATGTGGCAGCGATACTGCACAAATTGGCTCCGGTAGCCTGGTTTGTCGTCCTTCTTTTTTCCCAAAGGCGAAAAGCAAAAGCCGTCTCTTGAATCAACAGCAATCGCATCTCCACGACGCGACACGGCGTTTGTCCTGTAATTTGCTGCAATTCTTTCCCGCACCGAGTGTTCCCTGACACTCGGGCTTCGAGTGGCTGAAGCCACGGTTCCACAGAGTGTGAGCGACGCGAAGCAAGCAGATGCGGACGACCACATGCAAGGACTTTTAAGTTGCCTCTTTCCACTGCTCAAGCGATTTGTACCGCCAGCATCAGTCAACTACGATGTCGTGCTGAGAAAAAATGCCGTATGAACATTCGAGAGTTGCCAAATTTCCCTGGATAAAATATAAATTTTAGGGGAAATTCCTGCATATATATTTTCCTTCAGATTTTTCAAAATCTTTTATTCGCAATCGGATCAAAATCATCTAAAAATTTCAAGAGAAAATATTCATGACTTGCCTAAAAAATAAACATTTTATTCGAGGAAATTTGGCGACTCTCGAATGTTCACGGCGTTTTTCCTGATCACGGCAGTATGACGGCAGGTAGCTTTAAAATCGCTCTGCATTCGATCGCGCGGTTCGCTTCGCGTAGCGCGCTGTCTGTGGAGCCGCGGCTCAGGAGCACGGGAAGTCCCAAGATGCGTCTCCTCTTTCGATGAGACTTTTCGAGAGCCAAGGAAGTGCCAGCGCAAGCTCACGAGTTATTTCTAGTTATTAACTTTTCAGATTTGCTTTCAAGACGACGGAGTGAGGATAAATAAACAAACACTTCTCCGCAGAAGCGATTTCGACTGCTTAGATCCTATCTGTAGTGTTCACTCAATTGTTTTTAACAATAAATATTCAGATGAGTTCATTTTATTTTTATTTTAAGAAAGTAAGAGGGAGAGGAGGGAAAGTAGAGGAAACTTCTTGCGCAATTACTCCAACAACGGCTCCAGAAATGAATTAACTGCAGACAGAATCTGACAAAAATCAATTTCCGACTTTTCCAGCTTTTTTCATTATTAACTCGAATAAAATGAGAGAGCAAAGATTTTTAGCAATAATTTGATGCTCTATACTCGTAGATTTTGCGTGAAGATATGAGACAGTGAGAATATGGCTGCGTAAATTTTTTGGGCACGAGTGCTTCATGAAATTAATGCCACCCTGTATACATAAAAGTAAAAGGCAGCGATTGATCCTAGACAATTCGAAAGCGACTCGCATATACAGCGTGGGAAAATCGCAGACACTGATGAAGTACGGCAAATTTTACCAGAAGTATGGTACATTCTATCATGAATCTATTTGATTTTTGACACGGTGATAGTAGAGTAGCTATGAATTATATCCTGGATTGCCTCATTAAAATCTATCAAATGCGAGAGGTCTTTGTACCAAGAGAATTGAATGCATCGAGTAAGGAAACAGGATGTTGATAGATTTTCTTAAGTTATCTCCTTTAAAAAATAAAAATAAAAAAACTTTTCAAGCTGCGCTCTGTATAAATTTAAAAATACGTAAAAGAGCCAATTAAAATGAAAAATAAGTGTAACTGAGAGGGAGGATCTGTAAACGATTCGATTCTGAGCATTGAAAGCAAAAATTAATTCCTTTGAGCTTTGAAGGTATAGAAGTTTCGGCGAAAAAGCAATGTTGTAAATGAATGAAATATAAAATCGAAAGATTGAAATCGAATAATTATTGCAGAATATTGAGGAAAAAGGGGACTATATGACTTCATTTATTTATACGATGAAAAGAAACCTTTGTGTCAAGCCAACCCTACCATTTTTTTAAATTTTTTCTCTATTAAATGTTATTGAGCTACATCTCAGATAATTGGAAAAGAATAGCTATTGTCTTAAGCTTGAATTTTTAGTTCCAAAGTCCTGCAGTAAAAAAACATGTGTCTTCGACACTTTTTTCACATAGCGTTCACTTTCGAGATTGTATCATTTCAGTTACTTAACGGTAATTTCTTTAATTTAAAAAAGACAAGGAGAAACTAACTGTGATCAAAATTCACTAAGCTTTAGACAGAAATATCACTTGGACACATTATCACGGGAGCTGTTTACAATAGAGACACGGTAAACGTATCTCTCGAGGTTCCAAAATATTTTGCTGAGGGTCAAAATTTAAATTAGGGAATTTGTCTTGTTCAAATTCTAATTTCTTCTACTAAAAAATTTCTTAGGGCACAAACACAAAGGGATAGATAGGACGAAGAAAAATTCTAAAAAATGTTTTTCTAGAACAGCAGTTATAATTTAGCAGAAAATAAATAACATTTACAGGCTTGAAAATAAATAATGGAGAATCAGTCTTGTGAAAACTGGGGGTGAATCATTACCGGAAACGCAAATGCAAAGCGTTAAGAAAGATTCAGCTGATGTTTACCGAGTCGTCAAAATGGATAATCGATCTTAATAATCGACTTATTCGATTGATGATCGAAAATTACTTTTGATGGGGCAAAATGCTAATACGTGAGAACGAATTTTCAAAAATCATTGATTTTGAAGAAGGAAGAGGAACGCCTCACACAAAATAGCTTTCAATTAATTTGCCGGTGGGTTATCGATTGATCAAATAAATCGATTTTATCGAAAAAACAATGAAAAGATTCGATTATTTATCGATTAATCGCGCACGTCTAGCTGAATCTTTCATTTCCAAGCACGCCGGAGCCAAGACGCGACGCGAGTTCAGAAGTACTCAGCACGGCGAAGAATGCGCACCAGGGGTCCGGGGACGTTTGTGTAGGAGTAGATGGGAGCGGTGACGGGCTCAACATCCTTGTACTGGAAGCTGGAGACGGTACCTTTGAACTGAGCCGGCTTGGCGGGTTCAGCGTTGTACTGGGCCGGAGCCGGCTTGGCGTTGTACTGAGCCGCCTTCTGAGCGACCTCCGGCTGGGGCTGAGCGGCGGTGAAGTACTCGACCTTCTGGAGGCGTCCCTCTGGAGACAGGATGTAGTACTGGCCGCTCTGAGCTTCTTCCGCGGGTGCGGCTTTGGGGGTGGTGGACGGGACACTTTCCACTTGGGCCTTGACGTTAGCGGACTCCACGGGAGCGGGCACGACGGGGATGAAGGGGAGCTGGGGCTGAGGGGGTGCAGTGTAGGCGGCCGACTTGAGGGGGAGCAAGACGAGCTGGGCGGCCGGGTTGTAGCCGGTCGGTTCGGGCTTGTCGGCGGCGGCTATCGCGACCAAGGCGAAGACGGCGAAAGCGAACATTTTGGGTTAGGTCGGACACTGGACACTGGGCACTAGACACTCGAAAGGATGAGCACTGAATGATGGTCTGTTGGGTGGACGGCAGGGTATATATGGCTGGAGTTTAGGATGGCCTTTGGAGGCGCCACGTAGAGCTACGTGCCTGACATTGGCCAGAGCGACACGGCCGAAACTCCGCGCGCGGCCCGGAGATGACCTACGCCAACATGCGATGATGGGTCTTTGGGTCCGACATGAGCAACGATAGCGCAGGTGTAGGCACAGTGTAGGATATTCTCGGCTGAAGAGACTTCTAACAATGAGAGACTGGTAGGAAATCATGCCCCTCACAAGTTAGTGATTTTAAGTCATAAGTTATTCCATCACCACGGTTGTTCGAGTCTGGCAAAACGTCCTATGAGGTATGGGAAAATTGAGCAAATGCAATGACTTTATCACAGGTTTGGTTACATCTACATCCTTAGGCGCGAAGGATGCCCACAAATTTCTGGTGTTCTGATTCTGATTCAAACTTATAACAGAAAAAATGGATAGTTCGAAAAAACGCCATAAAAGCTGCGTTGTCGCTAGTCTTGGAAACGATTCAGGCCAAAAGCTTGTGAGAATGAAAATTATGGGTTTAAATTTTTGAACGTTAAAATTGAGGTGCTTGTTCAGAAAATGGCTCCTGCTTGCGATAAGTGCATTGGCGTTCACACATTTTCGAGACTTTGCAAAATGATGGGGCGAAAAATGGTCTAAAAATTACTTCCGGGAATTATCATTATTTCCGCGTAACGAGTACGACTGATGAGACGTAGTTTTACATCGGTTTGGCGGCTGTTTATGACCACCAACCTTTCACCACCCTTTTCACAGAGGGATATCTCTGTTTATAATTGACTCGTAGACCGAAAGTTTGGGCGGATCTCATTACTATATTTGGTAAACTACAGTTTTTAACCATCAAGCCACGACTCTGCTACTGTAGCAACCGAGTCATTGTGTGCCCTCATCCGAATTTTACGCATTTTAATGTTTGCTTCGTATAGTTTTACAAGCCTTTGTTTTGTTTTATTCGTATTAATTATGTACTCGACAATCTCGTTGAGCCGAACTGCAGGACTGTTTTGCCGTGCTAAAGAAGAAGGCCGTATGAGCCTTTAGACGTTGCCAAATTTCCTTTGATAATATATGAATTTTCAGGGAAGTCCGTGAATATTTTTCCTCCAATTTTACAGGGAATTTCATTCACAGTCAGATCTACATTATCTGAAAATTCCGAGAGAAAATATTCATAACCCTCTTCAAAATTTCAAATTTTACCGGAGGAAATTCGGCAACTCTCGAATGTTCATACGGGGTTTTTTCCTTAGCGCGGCAGTGTTGGGAGTGAGTTATAGCAACACTCATGCTGTTGGTCGCGCACTCCGCAATCCTTTAGACAATTAAGTTTACATCGTTGTTCATGTTGTCCCTGCGATGATTGTTATTATTATTATTAGTGTTCGTTTGTTGCCCCTAGTGCTGGGTCCGGGGAAATTAGAGCTGACTTCCAATTTCATTTATACCATTTTATTCCATTCGTTACAAGTTCCCCGGAACGGCCCTCGTTTCAGACCCGGGGGATGAAAAAACCTCCCCTTAAGTGGCGGAATTTACGGCGATTTGAATGAGATCGGTTAAAATAATAATCCAATAACCGCGCTCCCAGCGACCTCCCCCGCGGAACAAAGGGGCACGGGGCAACATCCGAGGGTGGTTTCGGGGGGCGAAGTAATGAGGGACGATAAATAAAATGCTGGGAGGAATATTTGTCAGCAGAGATTAGGAGTTCAGCGGTGGAAGATTAATTTTATTGCTCCGGCCTGGCAGTAATGATGGCGCCTTTGTATGCGAGATCCCTCGGTTCTCATCTGTTGGGTCCGCCGGGCCTAAAATCTTCGGCTCAGCCGATGCAGCCCTCGATCCAATCGACGTATTTCTATCAAACGGAACTATGTACATTATGACGTGAGCCCTGTTGTGAATGTATTCTTATTGGTCTCAGGGCTCATGTCTTAATGCACATAGTTCCGTTTGACAGAAATCTGTCCCAATAATCTACGTCATTATGAAATGCAGCCGTTGGATGAGCTTGCCAATCTGTTATTCGCATCAAAAATAAACCTATTGATTCGAAAGAGCGTGGTGTACATTGTATGGAGAACCCTGTAATAAAGGCTTCCCGTATCAGAAAAAATGTTTCACTCGAATCAAACGAAACCTCCATTGAAATTTTTTTATGAAGACCCGCCATCTTCAAATGGGCGAGGTGAGACTGCCTTAAAAACGCTCATTGATCATTTGGACGTATGTCTGCCAAACGGAACTATGTGCATTAAGACATGAGCCCTGTGATCTATAGGAATATACGCATACCAGGGCTCACGTCGTAATGCACATATTTCCGTTTGGCAGAAATACGTCCATTTTACAACGGGATGAAATGAAGCCTCATAAGAGTTTCTTAGGCTTTAGTATAGGTGCGGTAAAGAGCAGTGATGAGCAAATTTTCAACTAAAATAATACGCTAATTGTGATATCAGAGCATTTTAATTAGATTTTAAGAAGTTCGCCTCTCGTGAAAATTCGCATCAGTCCAGGTTGTTTCAAGAAAAATGGCAGTATGGCGATTTTTACATAAAGCTAAGAAATCATTCCTCATCATTCATTCCAAAGGAGTTTTGGAGTGAAACATTATTGTCCTGTTTTATGATACATTTTCTATCAATGATAGAGCCTTGAATGGGAAATCAGAGCTAGCACGGAACTGAAAGGAGTTTGACATAATTGAGGCGTTGGGTGCCGAAGGGACATTTCTTGTGTCCTAAAATTTTCACTGCTAGTTTATATTAAAGAGAGGAAACTGTTCAGTAAATTTTCTGAAAATTTTCATTTTCAGTACCGAAAAATCATGAAGAAAATTCAGTATAAGTTTCAACGAATTCCATTCACTTGCTTTACTAAAAATGGATGAAACGTTAGCAGAGATTCTGAGAAACCGGAATCAGGAAATGCCCTCCCTACACCCAGCGCTTCAATTTATTGCCAGACACATGTTGCAGAGTGAATAAAGCACCTATCACCCTATAGTAGATAACTATTGCTGCACCAGCAGCAGGGTGTCTACTGACAGAGGCTGGCCAAAAATCCATACTTTTACACTACTTTTTCTGTACATTCACCAAAAATTCAGAACCTCCTCCACAGTAAAATTCAGTACTCTTTCAGAACCTCCATTTGGCGAAATTCGAAAAATTTCAAAAAGTCGAATTTCTCGCTCAAATTGCGACAAAAATGACAAAAAAACGAAACAAATTCCGGACCTTCTTGTGGAGTTTCCGCACTTTTTCAGTGCATACAAACCGCCCTTGAAAAATCAGAGCTGTTTCCGGACTTCCCGGAAATTCCGGACTTGAAGACACCCTGTACACGCAGGATATTTTTTGACCTACTTCAAAAATTAAAGGCGTAATAGATAGCGCGTATCCGCACGTAAATTCCGCTTCCTCTAAATTATCATTCACCCTCGATTAACAACAGAGGCGCCACCGGCGAAACCGATCGTCGGTTCAATTTCCCTGCGAATTCTCACCAGAAAACATCGAATCCGCTCGGAATCCATCAGCGGTGAGAGACGTGACTTCCCAGGGATGTGAACGGCGTTTTTCAACCATGAAAGCAGCAGCCGGCGAACAAATAGACTCATATTTTGCATCATTCCTGACAGATTCGGTCACGATAGCGATAGCAGAGCTTCCGTAATCGCCGCGCGTTTCTTTTCGTTTTCCCTTTTTTCCCTCCTATTTTCGTCCTCCCCCTCCTCCCCGCCTTCCATCCCTATGTCGTAAGCTGCTCTCTTCCACCCCAATGCGGCCGTCACAGCGCCATTTGTCTTGCTTTCAATCCGGCTTCCCCCTCTCGAAAGGTATTTTCATATAAACAAGAGGTCTTAAGTTTTTACTTCAATTGAATCACTTCGTTACTGGAAATGCTCTAACAGATTTTTCCTTTCAATTTTTAAAGCGTCTCCCGTTCCCGCCCGCCCGCCCGTCGCGGCGCGACGGTCGCATCTTTTGTTGGGCTCCGATTTATTTTTAATTTATTTCCTCGCCGTGTTTGTTTTACCGCTCAGACTTTCGCTATTGGTTTCGCTCGCGTAAAAAGCCAATTTCTCCTTGGACTCCTCGTCGAAAAACTTGCAGAGAATGCACGTCTTGCCTTACGGGACGAAATGGATCAATAGACAGGGCACGAAATTGAGGACCACAATGTATGGTTCTTGATCAACATTTTATATGAAATACGATGGAAACATTTCAACTTTCCAGATTCAACTCCTACGTTGGAAGTCATGCTTTTTATCTACGTGCAGCCGCACAAAAAGACTTGAATCTACTCGAGTAAAATCGAGTACTGAACTGATTTTCGTATATTTTATGATGGAGTAATGGAAGAATTTTCCTGTGGACTAATTTTTTTAACAAGATTAAAGATATTTGGACGTATTTCTGCCAAAAGGAGCTATGTGCATTACAACGTGAGCCCTGGTATGCATATATTCCTATGGGTCGCGGGGCTCATGTCTTAATGCACATAGTTTCGTTTGGCAGAAATACGTCCATTTAGCATGAAAAGAGGAAAGAAATGTGCAAGAAACCAAGCTCTCGTTATTTGCCTTTAAGTTGATTTCACTGCCTAAGTTGGCCTACGTTGATTCAGGCTTTTTCACGAGCAAGAAGTTTGAATTATTTGAAGTTTTCGACCTGTTTAAAGTTTTCTGCGAGAAAACATAAGCTGTAGTTTTCGATTCCTTTCTTTGTCTATACACAGTAAAAATTTCCGTGTTTGATTAAGTTACTTCGAGTTACTTTTTTTCGGTCAGATCAGCCTGCAAGACTTCGGTCAGATTAACCGAAGTACTGTTTTGCGGCGTCTCCGTCTTTTTAACATCTTCGTAAAGTTGATGGCGTTTTTTTTTTTTTTATTTTAAAGCAATTCTCTGTCGCAATAACGCATTCCGATGTAAAAAGTTCAGATTACTAACTCAGAGGAGGCATTTAAGTGATCCGTCTTCCTACTCGTCGTACGAAGTAATTTTTCCCCGGAAAGTTTTCACTAGACTTGATGTTTCATTTGCTTAGGGAGCAGAACTCAGCTCGCGCAAGTTCCCTTCTCGCCGGGGCTTTCGTTAAATTCTTCTCAACTATTTCACTTGCAAGCGTTGGAAACTTCCCCGTCAAAAAATATTCATTTTCCTGCTCTTGAG